ATAACATCAAATAAAAAATTCATATACAAATATATATATTAAAAAATGTTTTAAAATTTTTTGAAAATTATTTCATTCTTATTTACTCAGTATAAATTAAATATACATATATAATATATAATTATTTTTTTATCTTATAAAATATATTTTAAAAAATTACTAAATAAAATTATTTATTGCTAAACGCATTTTTTACTAAATGCAGATTATATACTTTATATATATTACATTCATTTATTAGCATAAGAGAAATTTGATATCTCTATTATGATTTGAAGACAAGCTCCAAATTATAAGGAAATTTATAAGATATAAAGAATTTAATTATATAAATAAAAAATATTTAAATAAAAAATTAAGATATCATTGATGATATTACTTGTTACTTATTCTATTAAATTGGATTGTCTTCAATTCATGAAGATATATTCTAACAAGATTTATCGTATACATTAATTCATGAATATACATATACAGAATTGTTAGAAAAACAGTATATTACAGTTGACCTAAATATAATCGCATATTTTTATTACACATATATAATTAAACGTTTTTTATTTATATGTTATCTACGATCACTGCGTCCACCATTTCTGTATCCCCCACGACCACGAGAATTAGTCTTTGGTGTAACAGTTGTTTTTGTTGTTGAATCACCAGAATATCTTGCAGATCCTCCTGGAAGTCCTGAGGTATTACTACTATTTCCACCACTATTACTATTATTATTATTTCCACTTTTTGTTGTTGTAGAACTACCAGATGTACCACTAGTAGGTGTAGTTGAATTACTTTGAATTGCCTATAATAAAATAAATTAGTATTAATATTAATATTAACAAAAAATATTAAAAACACATTATATTGTTTATTTATTATTATATTGTTTATTTATTATTTATTATTATTTATTATTAATAAATTTAATACTAGCAATATTCTTTTATTTTTTAATTTCATTCTTTAATTATATGTAAATATTTCTCTATTTTAATACATGTAAATATTATGTAATATTAATGGATTTTATTTGTTTAATAAATAAATAAATAGATATTTAATTAAAAAATACGACTTTATTTGACAATAACATACTAATGGTTGTCTTCCAGGTTGACCAGCAATATTATTTGCATTTCCATTATTTGTAATACTATTGTTATTACTACCAGGTGGACCAGATCCACTTTGATTAATCATTTGTTGTGCTAAAGCAGGATTTGGTTCACTCATATTCAATTGTTCATTTATTACCATACAAAATTCTCCAATTTTTTGTATATCTCCATTTTTTCCTGAATATAATGTTAAACATTGTCTCCAAACAGATGCATAACCTTTTGTCAATCTTACAATATCACCTGGTACAAGAAGCTGTCCTGGTTCGTCCCAAATTGAAACATTCATACATGCTGTACCATCTGCTACTTTAAATGTTCGAACTTCGCGGTTTTCTTTGGTAATAGTAGGGTGACCAACTTCCAGAACAATAAACACTACATTAATGTTTTTCTGTCCCGGCCGTATGTCTTTTATCAGTACGTATTCCATTGTTTTAACAATCAATATACACTTTACACTATCACTCTTAATGAATAATCACTTTTACATGTATATTTAAAAATACGTCAAATGTATGTTTTTACTTTACGTACTGTTTAATTTAACTTTTCTATTATCTTCAATATGCGTTTAATATCGTATATTACATCAATTTCTTTCTATCAGTACTTAGTATAACACTAATGGATGAGTATTTAAGATATTTGTTTACGTAAAATAAGAAAGAAATTCATTAGAGAATTAATACGGGTGTTATGCTGTTGGTAGCTAGTAGAGTGAATGTCAGCCATCTTATTTTAGTACATTATACAAACACTAGGTTCGCTACTGTTCAACAATATGCGCGTCATCGAAATAATCTGGCAGCAGCTGGTTGTAACATGACTTACCAGTGTTATTACTACATAAAGTACATAAAATAAAACTGATACATCAAAATATATATGTGTTTACATGTATTTATGCATGTATATGATTATGTCACATAACTTGTGTATATACATATTTATACACAAAATTTAAACATATTAAGTGTATGCAAATATATATATATATTTTTTTTCTAAAAAGCAACTTTATTATTATGAAGAATATATATTTTTTATATAAAAATTATATTTAAATTTTAATATTATGCTATTTTTGTATTTTTTAAAAATAATATAATTTTATATAATAATAAAAATTAAATTATTTTTTATTTAATATTATATAGAGTATAATTTAATTGTAAATGTATAAAGTTTAACCTAATAAAGAATTTCAAATTTATCCTCTGAAATTTGTCATATCAGTTAAATCATAAATGTATTTCATTATCGCATAGCTCATGTTACAGTTATTAATCGTTTAAAAAATAAAAATATTGACAGATTCTTTTAATTTTTATATCTATCAATGTTAATACAATCAGATAATTATAAGTAATAATAAAAAAATCTTTCTTACTGTTTTAATAATATTAATATAAAAATAAGTTATTATCAACATTACAATTTTAGATAATGGACGTGGGTGAATCTCTGGATCCAAAAGAATTAAAAGTTACCCTTGAAACATATAAAAAATTGGCAAATGATTTTGCAAATCATGACACAATTTTAAAGGTAATATTTTCAAATTTATTTATATTTAATTCTTTTTATTAACAATTTATTATTCCAGGATAAAACAGTTTTGTCATATGTAGCATACGTTTTAGAAGTACCAGATTTTGAAATTATTAATTTGAGTTTAGATATTTTGGAATTATTTGTTAAAAACGTGGATAACTATGTACATATAACCTCTACTTTTGGAGTTCGTGAAGCTTTGGATGCAATTATAAATAAGTATAATATAGATGAACCAAAGATATCTAAACGAGCACAATGTATAAAAGATGATATAGAAAGAATGAAACCACCAATATATAATTTACGTAGCAGATGTAGAAGAGTTATAGAACCTAAAAAATTAAAAACTCATGTAATAGTGTTACACATTCAAGGTTTATTACCGGTATATTTAAATAATATACATATATATATATATATGTATTAATTTTACATTGTTACTGTTTTTATAAATTTAATATTAATGTGAATTCATGTGAAATAGGAAACTCGTGCAGAATTAGAAGGAATATTAATAAGAATCAATGGATTAGTTTCTCTTGTAGTTGATGTAGAACATCAACGTGTTACAATGCGTACTTTAAGTTATGTTACTGCAAAACAAATTGCAGAAGCTATACAAAGAAATTCAGAGAATATGGAAGCAAGATTAGTAACAAGAAATAAATACAATCAAGAATATCTTGTTAAATTGGTAAATGCATAATAGTTTTTCTAAATTTTAAGATTATGAAATTTATTAAGATTATTTTATTAATAAAATTTATTACTTGAAGATTCATACAGGAAATAATGGTGATACTGAAGATATGCCAGATTATTTACCTGAAGAAGATGAGCAAGAAAATGAAAAAGAGGGAGTTGTATCATTACTTACTGGATTAAGACAAAGTGCATCATCATTGTATAAATCCACTGCTGAATTTCTGCATAATTCATTTTATTGGTAAATTTATAAGCTCTAGTATAATAAATATTATTTTTTATTCTATTATCAATGAACAATTTAATAAAACTAGAAAATATTTGAAACTATAACTTTATGCAAAAATTTATATTAAGTAACTTTAATCATTGATCTGATAATTTGATATTTTTTAACTTTTATTTATTTTATTATTATGTCAAACTTATCATTCATTATATTCAGTATTGTATTCAAATATTTGTTATACTTATTAAAATAGATTAAATATATATTAAAAGCATAAATAAATTTAGTTTTTATTACATTTGATAATAATAAATCTTTGATGCCTATATTTATTATTTATTTTTAATTAAACTGTATATATGTAATGTAATAAAAATTATAGTTGAAAGAAAAATGATAAAAATATTTAAAAATTAATATTTTAAAAGATTAGTTGAAAACTTTTACATGTTCAATAATAGAATAAAAAAAATTATAACTAATAATTTGATAAATATGAACAAAATTTATTCATATAAATATTTTGTGCTAAATATAAAACTGCATTAACTGTAAAAAAAAGAATTAATTTCAAATTATAATATCATATATTTTAATTAAATTATTATTTATAGTATATATATATATATATATATATATA